AATTCTGTATTCAGCTCTCGTAATTTACTGGTACTAGGAAAGAGGTCGTCTAGGGATCTTTATTACCCAAAGATGCAACCTCAATAAATCTAATACAAGACGGCTTCCATTCTTATTATAATTCAGTCAGCTCTCCAATCATAGTTTTATTTTTAGGTCACGACCCCTGGTAGGGCCTTGCCAGTGCTCTTTACATGTTCCTTTATGACCTATGTATAGGTAGTAAACAATATACCATTCATATAGGTAAAATTGAAATAATGCTAAATTAGAATAAATAACATCCAAATTTTACTGTTACCCATTATGGTAATGTATTTCAGTTAATATCACAAGTAGATATAATTTAAATGCTGTTGCCTTCAATACTCCTAAATATGGAACAATATAATATCATACGTAAAACGACTTTCATTGATTTTATAAAATAGACTCAAATTCGTGGTCAAATGTGAAAACGAAATTGAAATTCGTTGAAATCTAAAATGGTTACAGGCATTCAGAAATCAGTAAATAGAAAGAAACAGTATTCATACTTAACAATGACGTCACGCCTTAGTAGTGTCTTATAAACTATATACAACCGTTGCTAAAAATACTGGTTATTTGAGTTATCGAAAAACTAACTTAAACTTGTTGTAATAATGCCTACTATTGCAAGTTGACATCTTCAGTAATATTACCGTATCGAAAGGAGCTTAGAGTTAGCCTTTATTATTAAGATACAACAATGTGTATTTCATATCCATATATATTAACATATTATATTGTTGGAGTGTGGAGGCAAAGCGTGACATGCACACCGGTCGCGGTCGCTGGCCAGGTTTCATGTTACGACGCGGCGTGAATAAAAAATATAAGGCTCATATTGCTATGTGGCGTCTGACGGTCTGATCTGAATGCTTTTTGAATTGTTGCATTATACAGTCAGATGGTATATTCTACTACCTGTCTATGCTACTTTGATATGCAGGATGTTAAAAAACGTACCTGTGAATTTTTTGCGGCTATTCTTTTTATGATATTCTTCAAAAAGCCCGTGCCAAATTCCCGAATCGTTTTTTCTCACATCATTTGATCAATCGCAAAATTTGTATTGAAAATGATATATTTAGAAAAAGTTGTTCATTATCATAGTTTGAGCGACTCTATGTAATTTAAGAAGTAGTTTTTAAACACGTATTAAAACTGACTAGTAACTTGTCGATCCCAATAGCAAGCATTTTAAAAATCTACACTATTTTATAAAGACCCCACAAGGTGTAATAGAAATGGACCGCAATAGAATAAAATAGATTATAGAATTCCCGAAAAAAATATGTTTTTTGCGTTTACAATTTTTTGCTTAACTTGTTTCATATGAGACGATGAGTGTGTTAAGGTCTTCCCTTTTTAATACGAAAACATTTCATCTGTTCAATGACATTCTCAAAACGCATGCCTCCCTACCCTTTAATCACGAATAGACATAACTTATAGTCTTCTCGGAATAAGTTATTTACATGTAATTCAATTCAGTTTTTCATGTTCTGCTTGATGTAAAAGCTTTTCGTGTTACAAATTTAAAAATACTTAATAAACATAAGAAAAATGTGGACCCTTGTTTACTTCACTGACCCAGCGACCTGAAGTGGATCTTGGCCTCCGACACCAAAGTACGCCATTTCTGTCGATCTTGTCAATTCAATCGGTGAATTCCGACCATTCGGACACCTTCAATTCCTTTAGGTCTTTGGAAACGTCATCCTTCCAGCGATATCTTGGACGGTCCACTGGACGTGACGGGAGGTTGCCCCAAATACGCTCTTTTGGCAGCTCGATCCTCTCCCATTCTTTCCACATGTCCTAGCCAGTGAAGTCGAGCACATTTTATTTCCCCGATTATGTTCGGCTCAGACATTAGTTTTTCTATCTCTCTATTGAATCTGGTCTCCAGTTCTCAAATTATCCTTTGATTGATCCCTCACTCTCTGATCTTTCGAAGTATCTTCCACTAATAATCCGTGTTTCACACTCATACGTTAAGATTGGCCTAATTACTATGAATAGAGATGGAAAAAACTGCTTATAAATTTTAAACGTTAAAAGTTGTACTTTTTTAAATAAGCGTGCTTATAAAAGCACATATCACTTCAACGCTTTTTAGTTCGAAGCTTACAAAATCGCTTAGAAAACGATTCAGCCCATAGACTTTATGTTAATAAAAGCTTGCAACATTGTGTTGACAGCGAAAAGCGAGAGTAGATTTTTAGATAAGTCTATTTGTAAAACACAAGTTTTATTTTTATTTATATCATTATTACTCATTGTTATAACATTATTATTCACATTGATGAATAAATTTGTTTAAGAAACATTGATGACGGAACTTGACACTTTGCAAATACAGACACATTGTAAAAAATCAAATAGTTACGTATTGAATTGAACAACGCCTACAACTTAAAATTATAAGGGTGCTTGTGTGCTTATGTTAAAAAACAAACTTTTTTTACCACTAAGAGCAAGAGAAATCGTTCTATGTCGACGGCCACGTCATGAGTAATTTAATTACATATAAATTATAAATTATAAGTACAAATTACGTTTAGGTTTATCATCCCGAGTACAATCCCTTAAAAACAAAGTCTCAGCACTACTGATTAGAGAATTTGTGGAAATGGTGCGGTGCTGCAATAACACCTTGCTTTTTAGATTTGCCATTATGTTGTCCCACTTCCGACAGAAGAGGAACCTCGAGAAGAAAAGTACATAATAAATAGTTTCCTATCGTATACATGTGAAGTCATACATTTTATTATGTCTTAGAACTTGTCTTAACAATAAGATTTAAAGAGTGATTTTACTACACTCCAAGCTGTCAATTTTACCTAACACATGTCGTGAAATCATAGCAAAGCTAGTGAAGAAAATGTCCATTATAACAATAACACTATTAAACGTAGCGAACTGTTTTTGACGAAAACTGTATACGTCACATGCAACTTCGTAGTTTGACTTTTACGTCCTTCCTTCCGCGAAGTATCGAAATATTGCCTTACAAATATTGATTGTGGGCTGACAATTTTATATAGAAAACTGAAAGTTTCACCCAATGTTCTTTTTTATTACGTCGTGGGAACACTATAATCACAGATTAAGTATTATGTAATGTAGTTTATTAATATTTACATAACTGTATTTAACAGAGACGTTAACGGCCGTATTGTCTATTGAATCCTAGTTTTAATTTAACTGTCCATTGTCAATACCAGACATCACATTAATGTGACATGAGCAATAATTTGTGCCGATTTTATATAATAATAAATAATGAATGGATTATTAGCAATTGTTTGGGGAAAATGACCAAATATGTAACTTTTTCAATAATTTTCAACGATTGCAATACATATTGCAATACAAGATTTTTTTGTTTAACTGCCTCTGTGGCCGAACGGTTACCATGCTTGTCTGCCACGCAAAGGTCCCGAGTCCAATTCACAACTCCCGGACCGGGAGAAATATTTGTATGGCCTACATTTATCTCTCTCGTGAGTTTGGGCGTAATTGTCGTTGTCTATGGCACCCGCGACACCAGAGTTTCCCTAGTACAGGGCTATGAGTGTGTGTAAAAAAAACTTTCCAATTAATTACAATCACTCACTCGTCATACAAAAGAATGTTGTACTTTTTTTATTTTATGAAGGACATTTTGTTGACCGCTCATGGTCTTGACTGCGCCACCGGACAAAAGGGCGATCTGAAGACTCTAACCCGTGTAATATTTAAGTAACGGGAGGTTGCCCAAGTGGGCACTTCGAGGTCGGTTTTTTTGTGATAGGTTCATCAGGGTCGTTGAGGTGAGGACTTCCCTAGGTCTCACAGTCGTAGAGGACTTCCTTAGATTTTTTTAATAATACTGTGCGTAGAATTCGTGCTGGTGTGAATTTTGATTCGAGTATTCTCTAATAAATTGTTATAAATAATGTTACACAATGTCAAATGGGAACAATAAAGGGACTCCACGGGAGTATTTGATAGTATTTGACAAGTATCGAAAATTCTTTTTATAAAATTAAAAATTGACGGTGACATGTGACATGCGAAAACTGAGTTACAATTGTTGAAAAATAAATTAGTACCAGGTATTCAGAAATTGCTAATTAGGAACAACAATACTTGTTTGTAACGTCACAAGCTATAATGGTACCGTATGCATAAGTTACAAAATAATGATCGATTTATTAAAAACAAGACGAGGTATCCGCCGACACTTAGTTACCAATGTTATATTAACTATAGTTGAATGGCGAAACACAAACAAATTTCAATTTAATTTCTCGCATATTCATCTGTGGTAAATATCTCAAAATTTTAGTAATATTAGACATAAGTTTTAAATTTTTGGTTCAATGAAAAAAATTTATATAAATTTACAAGGACAGCCATTAAATTTTAACTTATTACTAGTTTGTTGGAATTATTAATAGTTATTACTAAAATAGGTTATTACTTAGTGTACACTCCGCATATTAGCTTGCAGCAGGCGAACAACTACGAGTAGCTAGGTGAAGACTGAAAATCAGCAATGCTGAGTCTTTAACCTTTTCGTCCTCATCACTCAATTGCTTTTTTTTCTATTCGTTTCTTAAGTATTGTGTTCCTTATGCTTTGTGGAGAAATAAATACCTTTTTATATTTATTTTAAGTACTGATTGTTCGAAGAATACATAATATTCGTGTAAATAGTAGTTACTGACTTTGACAGGCGTAACACTATGTGTGTAAGTTACACCAATTACAAGCGATTTTCCGCGAATTAGCTCACGCAAAACTTAAAACTAAATCCTACTTCAGTACCATCATCTACTAAAATAAAAACAAACTATTTTTGAACGAAGGCTATAAGAGACCATTACAACTATCGATATAATTTTAAAATAGGTTTGTTTGAATTTTTCCCAAAATGATTGGAGTATTTTATTATTAATATTAACAATCTTTTATCTGTTCCACAGGTCGAGAAACCCGTAACAGAAGGCCTATCTCACAAAACGCGCGATCAATGGGAGATTGACCGTTCCTCGCTCAAGTTCGTTCGCAAACTCGGCCATGGGCAATTCGGCGAAGTTTGGGAGGGCCTTTGGAACAATACAACTCCAGTCGCTATTAAGACTCTCAAATCGGGTACCATGGACCCTAAGGACTTCCTCGCTGAGGCTCAGATCATGAAGAAGCTGCGGCACAATAAGCTCATCCAGTTGTACGCTGTCTGCACCTTAGAGGAACCTATTTACATCATCACTGAGCTGATGAAAAATGGATCTCTTTTGGATTACTTGCAAGGTGAGTTTCTGGATAAATTATGATTCCATAAAAAGACAAACACAAAGAAAATTCCTGCGATCCAACTGCACACGTAGCCACGTTGAAGCGACAGACGCTGCCTAATCGGATCGGCCGAATTTTTCTTTGTGTTTCGTTGACCTTTGTATTAAATTTATAATAACAAACTAGTGGAGTATTTTAATAAAAAAAAATTGTTACTACCAATGATACTGAATAAATTTTAGTATTACAAATAATACGGTTTGTTTACAAATATACGACCACAAGTTATACACTGGATATATCCTATGGTGAAGTTTTGTTTGATATGATAATATATACAAACTATGAAGCCGGCAACGTCTCTGCCTACACCTCAATCCAGGAAACACTTTCTACACCTACCTTAACACGCGTATGTAAAATACAATAATTGTATTACTTTTTCGTTAATTCCAGGCAAAGGGCGCGGTCTGAAGCTCCAACAACTAATAGACATGGCGGCGCAGATAGCAGCGGGCATGGCGTACCTCGAATCGCAGAATTATATCCACCGCGACTTGGCCGCCCGAAATGTGCTTGTCGCTGACGCTAACATCGTCAAGATTGCTGATTTCGGTCTTGCTAGGCTTATTAAGGTGTCGATTTAGCATTTATATTTAACACAATTTGTGACCTTCGGTAGTCAAACTATCATCATCTCTCATCTTAAGAAATGAAACTTTTTCGAATCTAAATCGCGTATATTAGTTTTTTCAAACAAACCAACGTCTCGAGCCCTTTGTAGGTCTCATGCTGACGGTTGCCTCAGTTTTGGTCCCAAAAAAATAGTTTCCTCCTATGTGTAATATTCGCGAAAACCTAACAACTCGATAAATACCTATTTACTCTGACAAACTGTTAAACAAAAACGCCAAAAATCTAACTTCTTCCAGGATAAAAATGAAGTCTATTCTTTAACAAATTATGAAAATCTCTATGACCAAGATAATAGCAACATACATATAGCAACTAACTTTTTTCTATTTATAAAACCTTTTACATTGTTAGAGTTAATGAACAACTGGTTATAGTTATCATATAAGTAAATGTCTTATTTCAATTTAATGTCAAAAATATATTTACTTTCCAAATTACCCGTTACTTATGTCAAATTAATTTCCCTTTGTTTTCTGCAGGAGGACGAATATGAGGCTCGCGTTGGCGCACGATTCCCGATCAAGTGGACGGCGCCCGAGGCTGCCAACTATAGCAAATTCTCCATCAAGTCTGATGTCTGGTCCTTCGGCATCCTGCTCACTGAGCTCGTCACTTACGGGCGAATACCGTATCCGGGTATGTACTTTTGAATTTTACCAAGTTCACTCTTATCTATGACAACGTTAGTGGCCCAACGGCTTGCATTATGAGTGCTGGATGAGGTCACCGGGACCAACTTAGGAAATGAACGTCTCTAAATTGGTGCTGATCTGGGTATTCTCGAGTAAATTCCGTTGCTGGTTAGTACAGAAAATTTCAGAAAAATTCGGCTTGAAAACAGGTAATTGGTGTGGTTTTCTGGCACATCATTATTATAACTACGATAAGCTCGACCTTATCGGTCTGCAAGACTTGGCAAGGAAACGATTCTAACCAATCACAGTTCGCGCACCGCGTGAGTAGATCAATCATGATTGATCGAATTTTTCTTTCCTGCTTTCAGTAACCCATGTACCATGAGACGAATGATAGATAGATAAAAATCTATATCGCTATGTCATCCAATGACAGCTAGCAATTAATAATATCCTTTTTAATTTTTCCAGGCATGACAAACGCTGAAGTCCTTCATCAAGTAGAACATGGCTACCGTATGCCGTGCCCTCAAAACTGTCCTGCTGCCCTCTACGACATCATGCTCGAATGCTGGCACAAGGATCCTCTGAAGCGACCCACTTTCGAGACCCTGCAGTGGAAGCTCGAGGACTTCTTCACCATGGACAATTCTGAGTATAAGGAGGCGTCCGCTTACTGAGCCCGGCCCTCCCTGCCGCCTCACCGACACGCACACGCACATCATGTGAGTTTCAGCTCAGCTTTTGTTCAATTAGTAGCATAAACATTAGATCGACGGACTTGTAAGACGTTGCAAACTAAACGCTGGTTAAATTACATTTATAACACACACTTTTATAATGGAACTGATAGAACCGCATCGGTACCTATATTGTAATGGGGTGGCTTAATCTCTCCACATATAGCTCCATGCCCATATTGAATAATCCTAAAATAAAACAACGTCAATCACTTAAAAAAATTCCTCGATCCGGCAGGATTCGAACCGACGTCTTCTAGCAAACCGTGGCAGACACTATGCCAACTAAATCACGGAACGAGAACCAGCGGACCTCGCTAATTTTTCTATGTGCTTGTTATCGGACCTTTGTATTTCGTTTTTCAACAAGCTTTTAGCCGAACGACGACTTTTTTGTATTAATAATTATAACAAACTAGTGGAGTAGTTTCACAAAAAAATTATTGAATATCAATTCAAAACAAATTTAATAAATCAACATGTTATATTGCAAGTTTTATTTTTGTTGCACATCATGTTTTTTTTTACTACCATGATATTCATATATTGATCCGCAAGATTTTTGTTTGGGTCCATATTTGTATCAATAATAATACGTTGTTTTGCCAACAGACTCCAGGCCTGTACCACATGCCGCCAGAGCTCCAATTGTTGCACACAAGCACATCGATGCAACATCTGCAAATGCACCAGCTCGCAGCCCATCAGGCCAGCATCACGCAAATGCAAGGCTTACAGGCGAGTATGAAGCCGCAGCTGCCTCCCATGCAGCAAATGCAGCAGCAAATACAGCAACAGCAACTGCAGCAACAATTGCAGCAAATGCGGCAACTGCAAGGCGCGAGGCCATTATGCCACCATCACTCGCAACCGCGGCATAATACGCTCGCCGCTTACCGCGCCCCGTGAGCTGTTGCACGCATCTGCAGTTGTGTCGATCCACACTAAAGCCTCTCCATTGTATTCATGCCTTTTTGGAAATAGCTTGAGAAATTTTGGTGTTTCTAAACATCGATGTACCTCGATGTAACTTTAACCAAGGAGGAATTGGAATGTTACATAAGATATACGTACAGATGTATGCTCTATTAGAGTCTAAAGCGAAATATCAAACATGTCTCGAGTTTTTTTCCAAGAAAACTAACTTCACAAATCCCACAGATGTCAAACACTAACAAGTGGGCCGTAGCCCTATCAAGATTTTAGCAATCATCTGTTCATGAGCGGCAGTAGACAATGCGTAAACGCATCGTAGACAAAAGTACTTTTCCGCAATCATACATTTCTATTTCGTTTACATTGTCTGTAGCCGCTTTACAAATCACGTAGCGATAGTTGACGCGAAACCTTAAACGTTAGCGGAACACTTGAAACTGGCGAAATCCTAAAAGAGCACCGCTAATAAATAAACAGAACGTTTACATTGAACACTTGTCTGTTTTGTTCATGGGATCGATTACAAGATTCATAACATGAGCATTGTCTTTCGTGTCAGGTCCTATTGCGTAATTTGTATTTTTTTATCCTGCGCTTCCCTTTCGACCACCATTTTTACTCAAATTGTCCATTCCGTTTTGTATTGCAAAACATTCTCTACTTATGAATCTGTTTCGAATTACGTTTCGTGGTCAGAAATTACTGAATCGCCTTTGCGTTGATTTCGGAAATTGCTTAACTCTAAAAGTTATTGTCAAGCTTTGGCGACTTCCATATTTCTGACTACTTATTTAAACCTAATCTAACTTAGTCAAATGTCACGATGACCTAGATAATGTATGAAATAACTTTACATTGCCGAAGGGCACGAATGATGTACGATGATAAATGATTTATAATTAATTACCATTCCAAAAATCCGGGACAAAATGACAAACCAAGGAGCTATCAACTACGACCTAAATGGTTCCCTAGGATTTTTGACTATGTATTTTGGATTTATACTTTGAGCCAAAGCGATCGAACTGAATTACGTTACGTGTTTTTGAAGTATTTTCGATAAAGGACAGCAGGGGGTCATTAATATTCTTCACGAAGAGTGTGAAGTTGTAGCATTAAATGTAAACGTAATTTGACACATCGATCGATAATAAGTTTAGTTAGACTTGTCTACGATTTTTCTAAATGTATTTAGCATACCATAGGTTAACTTTTACAGTTCTTCAAATTTAGCCTCGTAGGTCAGATTATAATATTCGTTGAAACTGAAAAAGCTTTGAGTGTTCTAGGCAAGGGCCCAAAGACGTAACTGTTATAACTATTTCAGCATCTGTATAATTGAACTCAAAATGCTGGTACTATACAATCTACAATGATTTTTTTTTAGATTATCGATGTCAATGCACCGATGCATTGTACATTTTACCTTAATGGTATGTTGTTTATGTTCAATTTCGCAGGCGCTAAATATATATATCGCTATAGCGGTTATTTTTTACGGTCCCTTGTTCCAGAGCTTGAATTATGATATTTTTTCGACAGTATTGAGTAACATATCAGTGCTTGTTTGTCTTGTTAGCTTCAAGTAGTTTCCGTTTGCGCCCCAGTACGATGCGTTTATTTTGCAGAGAGTTTTTGTACGCATCAATATATCTTAGACTAAACAAAGGTTAAAATATTTCGGATCGATGTTAGAGGCTATTCCGTATACTACGAATTGGTTTCTCCACATGAGCAACGTAACTGGCACTGTGGAGGGTAGTCGCGGATAGTTGTCGGAATAGGTCGGCAATCTGCGGTGTGAAAACAGAGCAGCGTGGGCAATAAGTGCGACACGTGCGTGAGAAGGAGAAAATTTAGGTTCGGCAGGGAATATATCATGCCAAAGCGCATGACTTGACGTTTATGTTTCGAAGAGGCGCATTAATAGGTATTTTCACCTTCGTATACCATGTTTAATGTAGAATATTGGTGATAGATGCCAAATAATCCTAATAAAGAACTGAATTTATATACATATTAACTGTTCTGAGGGTATTTAGTCTTTAGGACTTTATTTATGTAATTTATAACGCGATAGGTTTTCTGTAACACGATCTATTGTTATCGATCGACTCATTTTATTTATGTGATGATTTTGATAACCTGTTTTTGCACGAGTTCCATGTAACGGGAAACAATTCTTGTGCTCAACTTACTAAATTCGCGACTATACTGTATTGTATAATCAAAAACTGATATTTTGTTTGTGCCAAGACTTTTAGTTTAAGCTGAAATATGATGCCACACCTAATAATCCCATTTGTAACGACCCAAAAATGGATTTTTTCCTCTTACTCTTTTCTAAGACATGATTGGCCTAAGTAAGTAAGTATTTTTCAATGTGTAGGTTTTGTGTCCTAACATTTTAGAATTAACATAGCATATTTATTATACATTATTAGACGCTTCAGGCAGTCAACAGAATTATGACATGATATTGTTTCTCATTTGTTAATTCGCAAAAAAGCACATTTTTATTGTGAAAATGTATGTGCAATATTTGTTACTTTTTAACCCCGGTGCTGACGAGATTATTTTCGTAAACTTCGCAGATATAGTATAAAATTATAACATCCTCAGAACTTTTAAAAGACGAATAGTAGTTGTCGTAAGGTAAATATTATAATTGACGATAATTCCAAATCTTAATGTTACTGTAAATGTCGCAACAATAGTTTTGTAATTTTGATCTTTCCACAACATGTAAATAGTGCAGTAGTAGTAAAGATTGAGTGATATTATAATGTTGGTGTTATGTAATTAGTACGCAAAATAGGCCCAAAACAAAAAAACCATTCCAATAGTACGGCTAATTGAAGTGACAAAACACGTTTTTGCACATCGTGAATGCTTTTAATACCGCTATATTTGTTAACAAAAATCAACTACATCGCACAAGTATTGAAATAATTATTATACCGATTAATATATTGTACTTGTAAGGTGCCTGAAGTAATTGCATTTTTAAGTCACAAAATATTTAGGTGTATCACGGAGCAGTCTGTTTAGTACAGAGGGTATTTAAACCCCGTTCTATAATGAACTTGTTTTCTATACTTCAGACTACTCCTTAATAGACCACCATTACGCACTGTGTATAGAGCACGAATTATGTATGTATAGTAGTGAATTTTGATGAATTGATCATAACCGGAGTGTTCAAGGCATCTGTATCGAACGATGATTTATAGCAAAGTTGATCGATCTTAATTAAAATAAGATAATAAATTCCAAAATTATTTACTCTCCTGTGTTATTTCCATAATTTATTTTCTATTTTTAAAACTCATTTTTAAGTTTTAGCTGTATAAACATGCTTTAGGTTTTATGCTTTATGTTTAAGCTAAGTTTCGCTATTTGTATTCTAATTAAATGGCAATATTATTAATTTTACGTATATTTGTATTAGTTAGCCAATTTTAAGTATTTTTTTTCTTATACGCCATCACAATTTATAATGATCAATAAGATGAGTAGGGTAAGCTTGAAGGATATGAGTGTTAGATCATAAACTAGAAATTATTTAGTAATTGTTGCTGTGTTACGTTTATACATTGTTTACAGTACTATAGACAGCTACATGGCGTCTATACAGCTTGTGACATGTGTCTGAATAAAATGGAGTCATATTCAAAGTGCGACTGAGTTAGTTGATACTGTTTGACAAGTTTGGTCTTATTACCTCCGAGTATCAATTAAATCTACTATAAGTTTCGGCACCGGTATTACACTAATGTCTCCGGAGCGTCATATTATATATCTCAAATTGATCTCCATTCCTTTGAATAAATTTTATCGGGCTATTTAATTACGAAATTGCAACGTATGGTGTAATATCGGTCAATATGTATGGTTATGATTATAATTACTACGTTTCACTTATTTGTATAGATTTTTTAACACAACAATAAATAAATGTGAAATATAAATATGTTTTATTTGTTTGCCCATTCTCTATAAACTCTTCTGATTAACATCTGTATCAACTTTATTTTGGACACAAAAAGAAATGCTTGTCAAAAAGAAATGCGAGATTCCATCCTCTAAGGATGAATCTCACATTTCTTTTTGACATCTCTTTAAAATTACATTCTTTTTCTTAAAACAAAACCTTCAGAAAATTTAAAGATTTATGCCACAGAATCCGTAACATTTTTTTTTTCATTGAAATGTGTACTACACTGCTGTAGGTGGTGCACAGTTTAAATTTACGTCACCCCGTCGCGATGTTGACAAGGAATTTTAAAAGAAAAAATACAGAGTAACAAATGAAAACTATATAAATATATTCAATTTATTAAACTATTCAACTTATCACACACGCTTCTAACTCTATTTTTGTATTCACTCAAATTTTCTTTCACATTACATAGTGTCGATACATCTTGTTCTAATTGACAAATTATTTGTTCTATATCCACGTTAAGCTTAATTTTCTTGGACGCAGGTTCAGAATCTCTTTCAACCTCAAATAATGTATCAATATCCGCCAAATCGAAATTATTACTTTTCGAATTATCTATACTTGTCCTTATACTGCCTAATTCTATTACCTCATATTCTAAACACCTATGACGATATGTCAATGGCATAGATAATTCTAATCTATCCTTCATTTCCTTTTGTACATTTTGTTGTCTTTGGACAGACAAAGTGTTCCATATTTGTCGTAAAGAATTATCGTTAAGAATTTTCAATATCCTTTGATTTTGTGCTTCATTTCTTGGATTACAAACTTCATTGAGGAGTTTATTTCTTACAACTGCATCAAAGTCTTGCATTATATTTTTAAATGTTTGTACAAGTATGGAATCAGCGAGGATTTTGTTTTCGCTGTTCATATGATCTATTGGTAAATTGCATATTAAATTGATTAGTACTAATTTTAGCTCCGTGCTACCTCTTTCGATCATTTTTGAAGATGTGTGTAATATCTGAAAAAATAAACTAATTTTGAAGTATAACTACATATAGACTTCATGGTAGGTTAAATTGCCTTAAAAAGCCTCTCACAAAGGAACAACCTCTCATTTCACACAGGGAATTCCACTCCCTAGCCGCTCGCCATATAAATGTGGAAGCAAAACGCTTCGTGCGAATCCTGAGAATATCCACAACATAAGGGTGGAACCCCAGACCATGTCTAATCCCCCGATGATGGAAAGGGGGGAAGGTGGAATCAAATCATGCAATTTTTTCGCACACTCTCCATAATATATTCTGAAGAATATCGATAAGCGGGTAAGTTTATGATGGTGTTCAAGGCTCTGCAGCTTCGCCTCTTTTATATCTGAGTCACCTATAAGCCTCTTGTTGATTGAATCCAAGATGGCCAGTTGACATTTATATATATAGCGCGTATGGACGGGTTTGCTGCTTTGATTACAAGTTTTTTCTCTTAGATAGAAAGTGCTAGACAGTACAAATAGCATTATAGCTACTATTATAATTTTGTTAATTTGTTATTTAACATCTAATTATAATTTTTGTCATTCCATAGATTTGTTATATCCGAACTAAACTTTTTTTTATTATAGATCTCACCTTGACCAAATTAGAAGTCCTTTGAAACAAATTCTTCATAGAGAGAGTCAAGGAAACTAATGCCTCAATATAGTCCAAATACCACATGGCTCCTTTTTTAAAGTCACCTTTCGAAAGTATGAATGGATTGTTCACTGGACATGCTTTTAGCCAGGCGTTTGTTATATCATTTTCTAGACTTTCTGTGTTAGTTACAAACGCACAGGTTTTGACCATTTTTAGTAGGTTGGTCTGCAAATAAACATTTATGTATGTATTAGAACATAGATTCCCAAACTTTTTAGCTCATCGCCCAATTAGGCGAGAAAAAAAATTTCAACGCCCACCACCACAAAACATAATTGAAAACACGTACTTCTTTATATTAACACCAAATTCACAAGGGAAAAAAATTGTATGTATATATGTAGTGTAGTTTATATAGATAATTCTTTTTTTTTCAAATTAGGTAGCATCACATCAGTAACGGCGTGCACTCACACAAGCCATGCTGCTACGTTTGTATGGAGTTACATTATTTGTCTTATTAGTATGCTTGTGACAAAATAATTCACCGCATGCGCATAATTATGCCTAAGTGTATATATGCATATATCTGTAGGTGAGATATAAAGGACCATAAGTCCATATTTTGGAAGTTAGATGTTTTTAAAAACTTTGCTTTCGAATGCTAAAAATTGCGCAAGACATGAAGTCCTACGGCATTTGTCTTATATTTAATATATAATTTATTTGACCTTAAGATTGATTTAATAAGCCCAATTGAGAGCCACATTCTTTTAAAAATACTATGTCATAAAAATTACTATTTGGCACTTAAGGCTTTTTTACTGCTCACCTACAGATTTGGTGAGACCATACAACTTTAAACCGCTTACAATACTATCCATGTCCTTCTTACTTCGAACTCCAGACGAAGCCAAATTTTCCAACTTTGTATTAAGTTTGTCCAATATTTGTTTTTCAACAATACTTTGCAAATTTATGGGCAGATTTCGAACTTTCAAACAATGCCAAATTGTCATATTCCTTTCATTATCTATGTTAAATTGTTTGGATAACTTTAGTTTATCTTCATCATTAATTACATTAAATAATTTGCTTATGGTGAAGCTTAAATGTACTTCCTGTGGTGATTTTGCAAACAGTTTGTTGCTCTCTAATGTCTGATATGATTTGCATAGAAAGAATAATTGGCTGAGGACGTACTGTCGGTGGGACATACTGAAAAAAAAGAACATAAATACTCAATGACGAGTTAATAAGTACAAGGGAAACATTTAATAAAAAATTATTTACTTTTTAATACAATCCAAACTAATATTATACTTGCGAAAGTAACTCTGTTACGTTTAAATTATTAATACAAAGATCAAACACTCAGACAAAAATCCTTCGATCCGGCCGGATTCCAACCGACGTCTTCTAGCATACCGTGCCAGACGCTATACCAACTAAGCCACGGAACGAACCAGTGGACCTCACGAATTTTTCTGTGTTTGTTGTAGTCTCTTTGTATTTGGTTTTTTCAACGATTTTTAGCCGTAGCGCCATCTATGAGAAATCTTAAGTATTTCGTCACCCAGTTAGATACCTTTATAACTACCAACCAGCCCTGGTTAGAGACGTCGCTATTCATTATATTTAAATTTTTATTGAATTGATATTCAATTATTTTTTTATGTGAAATTACTCCACTAGATATTTTGATTGAAAAGTCTTATTACAAAATTGAAGACTACGTGTTAGATAAAGATGTATGGAAAGACGACACGGCTCCAGAATCCACACAAATTTGATTCAAAGTGTACTCCATAGCATTTAAGTTTATTTGAAAAGAGCAATCCCAAGAGTTTCTTGCTCGTTCTTCTCAGGGAAGTCAGCGTAGTGAACGAGCAGTAGCTTAAATGTGACGTTTTCAAGTGTAAATTTATTTTATCTATGGAATAAAATCATAAATTGTAATAACAATTTACAACACCTGTAAAAAACTTAAAATTTCATTTATGACATAAAACACAGATTATTTTATTTCCATCGTTTTCGTTATACATTTATCAAGTGCAAAGTTATTCAAGTTTTGACTGTTATTATTTTTCCTGTAAAGTTGGTGTTTTGATAATATATATTTTTTCTGGGTGCAACGGTCGATATGTATGTAAAACAAGAAAATGTTCTTACCTAGCTAACAAGCTCCATAAGTTAGATGAAAATACAGCACTATAGCAATCCAAACTCAGTATAGCTTCATAAATACTTTTCTCAAGAAATTTAACTTCCTCATTGTTCATAGTGCAAGATAATGCAAGTGTGTGAGCTAGCAAGTGTTCAAACAAACCGATTGTTTGACGTATAGAGTTTGCTTGTGAATTCAGTTTGAGACCAATATTGAACCAAACATGTCCTGAAAAAGCAAGAAAATATTTCTTTTTTATGATACCAAGTGACTGCTGGTAAGCGACACGTCAGTCGCAAAGCCACTCGGAGCTTTAAATCACAAAGTTTTACAAATGCGGCCGTCACCCTGAGTCATAAGTTGACGAGTCCCCTGTGCCTGTAACTTCACCAGCACCCTTAACCTCCAAAACCGGAACGCGGTAATGCCAGTGTTAGGCAAAATTTAATTGTTCTGCCAATTAAAGATTGACAATTAATTAATTGTAAATTGCGGAACAGCAATTAACGATTGATCAATTGTTAGTTGCGAGAACCGCAATTAACAATTGATTAATTGATTAATTGCGGTTCTCGCAACTAACAATTGATCAATCGTTAATCGCAAATATCTACAATTAACAATTATTCAATTTTCAATCTTTTTAATGTTTTTGATTAACAATTAACAATTAAAACTGACAATTATGATAGATTTATAGGGGGGTGAGTTAGGGCGTTGGTTATGGGGGGTCCCGGTTGGAGGGCCCGGTTGGGGGCCCCGGTTTGGGGCCCGGTTGGGGCCCGGTTGGGGGCCCCGGTTGGGGGCCCGGTTGGGGGCCCCGGTTGGGGGCCCGGTTGGGGGGGCCGGTTGGGGGCCCGGGTGGGGGGGCCGGTTGGGGGACCCGGTTGGGAGCACGGTTGGAGAGCCCGCTTGGGGGTCCGGTACCCCCACCAACCGGCCGGAATTGATTTTAATTGCAAATTTAATTGCAATTAAAATCAATTCAATTAAAATCAATTGCAATTAAAATCAATTGCAATTACTGAATTGATTTTTTAATCTGATTGAATTATTGATTGAAATTTAATTGATTAACGCCCAACACTGGGTAATGCTCACATTTTTGCTTGTAGGTAGAAGTAGGTAAGGTGGCAGTACGTCCCTGAACGAACTTTTTCACAAGGATCCCTACTACTACTAAAATATTTTAATGGATAATAACTACAAAAATAACGTGCCCGACAACCAGATCAATTACATGGTATCTCACTGCAGAGTAACTGTGCAGAATACCTAGACCAGAAATTATTTAGAAAGTCAATTTCTAAACTAGTCCTACCAATAATCGAACCTGGGACCTCACAGAGCTAACCGTTGCGCCACTATACACGATGATAGTTGATGTACAAAAATAATTTATTTACTTCAATAAAAAAAATGAACTCATATAAATTTTGGTCCACAGTGAGTTTGTTTTTATAAAATTTTGTTCATCCAAGAATTGTAATCTTTGTAACTTTTTACTACCTAGATATTTATTTATTTTGTGAAATAACTCCAACTAATTTCTTATAATTAGCATGCAGGAATTTTTAATTATTCGTAATTTTTTTGTCATACTAACCAGCAGATAATTTACATTAAATTTATATCGAATTTATATTATACATAATAAACTGATAAAATAGTGTTGTTTCAAAGGATCGACTGCACTTACTCACTCAGTATGTAATGTTTTTTTCGACTGATTCTGATTCAGTATGTTTATTGAGAAACTAAACCAAACGCATTTTATTATACAATAAATATGGTAACATTGTATTTCAAAGTGACATTAGCAGCAAATCTAATTTAAAATCTGACTACAAATAGAAAAATCAATGAACAAAAAATTACTTACCAAAAGGCAATAATCTAAATACACATTGTATTAATTGATGTTTAGTGATTACCTCTTCATTCTTTTGAAGTACAGCTTTTATTACTGAGACTATTAGAAGCATATATCCCAACAGCCTATCTTCTTGATTTAGTGTTCTTATGTCAACACGTAGTATGTACTGAAATTGATATAAATTTGAAATGTTTAAGAACGTTTACTAAATAATGGCCACGTTGCAATGTCGTAACTAGAGCTGCATCGATCGTGTTCGACTGAATCAAAATGATTCGAACCCGATCCAACTTAGAGGTTTTTTAACAATTCATATCACACTCAGTCTGCAACTGACAATATTATTATTGTTTCGGTCTTTCTGACGTGAAGTCTCCACACTCCGGTACGCCATCTCACTTACATTGTGTGTTTGGGTCGAACATTTGTTTGATAAAGCATTCGTGATCGTGAGTGACGAATAACCCGCTAAAGCATCTAACACGTGATCAAATCGTTTGAGCCGATAACATTACGCATGGGTCATGAACGCCCGGGTCATCAGGATTGATTGATCGACTCAGGTCTAGTGGTAACCTGTGGTTGTTTAACTTGTTTTTTGTTTCTAGTATACCTACCTAGTGTGTGAGGTGTTCAGAGTTGTGTTTTGTAGAAGGGTGTGAAGCTTGTAGAGTTACGTTCAACCTTCTAACGCCCCATGTGCGTCAAATTATAATATAAAGTGTCAAGTATGAAGCTTCATTCGCAATATGCGACTTTTAATTTGGTCGAGTGTTACTTATTTGACAGTAATTGTTTCGGAAGTGGAACGGGAAGTACACCCCCAGACCCAGGCAATATTATTCATGGAACCACATATACGAGAAGTGTGTATTATAACGAAAATATAGCATTCAATATTTATTTTATTGAATAACGTATATTTATTACCATGAAGACCATGATTCATTTTTATGAAAATACTCTACCAGTTTGGTGTTATTGTTGACACAAAGATGGAACAAAGACTATGAAAAACTCTTTCGATACGGCAAAAAAACAGTTTAAATCAATAAATAAAGATTGGTAACAAGCACGTGGAGAAATTCGTAAGGTCTGCTGATTCATTCCGTAGCTCAGTTGGGAGACGGTTAGCCCCGGTCTGGCAAACAGTCACTGGTTCGAATTCAACTGGATCGAAGGAACTTTTTCTTTGTTTGTTCGATCTTTGACCAGAGTATCTAGAAAAATGATCTGAAAAATCGCAGTAAAGTTTTTCACAGAGTGCATAGTTAATTGATCCTGAATCATGTAATAACATTTAATTTAATGTACAGTCAACAGCGCATTAAGCTATACACTTGTTCGAATATAGCCTCCAGTGCAACGATTTTCCGAATGTATTTATAGTTTGCCACGTCTTAGGACGTTAAAGCACTCAAACTACAAATCGATTACTTTAAGAATTATTTATCATTTAAAAAAAGTATGACTTTTTATTATTTTGTAACAGAGGTGTACTTTACGAATTTCTGACAGCTCTCTAATAACTTAGATACTATTATTACTTACATTGACAAATATTTCATCTGACAACAATTCGTTGAGTAGAATCTCAGTAGGCGTTAAAACACAGCTAATCAATTGATTGTAAAATAGAGATGATTTCTCAACTTTTAACTGATTGCTGGGGATGCTGTTTCTGGAAACATGTATTCATCATTATAAACATTACTTTTATATAATTTTAAGTCTTTTGTGTAAGAATGAAATTTGAGGGCCGCTGACGTATTGGCTAATGCCGCGTATGACGTGCGAGCCGTGAATAAATTGTTTGTACAATACAACACCTTTTAAAAAGTAAAAAAATTATACTTACGAATAGATACATATTAACATTTCAACCAAACAGTCGTAATTTTTTGAAGTTCCTTGTTTAAATGTGTTACACAATTTCAAAAGAATTTTTATTATGAAGCTTGCCACTTTTAGGGACCTTGTAGTAACTTTGTCTTCTTGGTTTGACTGAAATTTAATAAACACCTGTTTTAAATTTAAATATCTTGTTGACAGTCATCTATTTCACAATCTTCAAGATCAAGATCTGCATAATGTTGCTGTGGGTGCATAATATACACTTATACATGTATGTTTATCACATATATGTAATGAGTATGTTTATGTTATATTTTATGTTTTTTATGCTATTTAAATTAACTATCAATATTTGGCTTGTGGTATTTTGAATAATCAATTGTCTTTTATTCATTTTTTTAATATATGTCTGCACAACATGACAAATGATCAGTTTGCATGTAATTAATCGTCAAAACAATAAAATGTAACAAAACAATATTATACGCGGCTTTAATCCAATTTGAATCTCAACAACTTAATAATTTTTAAGGTATTCAATTTGGCAAGTAGTTAGACAATGATATCATCCATCTCATGGGAAGTCCTGAAAAACGCCTGTAGATATTGTGTTTTCGACAATTATTAATCAAAAAGCTGACAGTAAGTAGTAAGAACAGTGGTTTAAATGGCAACACTGCTAAGTTTCACAGAGAATTAGTAGAAGCAGTAGTTTAAATAGCAACTCTGAACCGGAAAGACAGAACATCAATACCAACGCGCTGTGATACGAACCTCAACAGCAAATTTCAACTTATTCTCAATCATAGAGCTTAGAATTTTTATACAATCCTGGTAAATGCGTTTATCTTTCAAACTAGTCGAGTACTTTTCGCATATAATGGTGAACGCCTTCCATTGCTCTGCCATTGTTTTCACATCTAGAGCTTCAACTATTGCACCAATTTTCAAATTGATATCAAGAGCTGTAAGGAAAATGTATTATATGAATGAAATGAAATATTCAAAGATAAGTTAGGTAAATTTCAAGTATTGAATTAAGATCTAACTAAGGGTTTTATTACGGTTTGTAGATAGGTTAGTAGCTCGAAACCAGTCTATCAAAAATATTACTTAAGCTCAAAAGCCAAAAGTTACGCAATCTAACTGCCGCTCTTACGGTCATGGTCAACGTGATCATTATTTTTTACCCTCAGAGTGGGACGCCTATAAATTTATTATTGTTTTAAAATTAAAATACATGTTAATGACAGTTACGAAACTTTTTAAAAATCAATTAAAATGCATAATCAATAATGATCAGTACAGAGTAGGTACTAAAAAAAGCTGACCTCATTAATCCCCTAGTTTGCCACCCTTAGAGGTGGAATATTTTGTTCAAATTGAAATGGGACCACTTCTGAAGTACTCTCTTTCCAACAAAAAAAGAATCATCAAAATCGGTTCACAAATGCCGTGAGAATTATCGCGTAACATACGTACAAAAAAAACAGTCGAATTGAGAACCTCCTCCTTTTTTTACCTTTTGAGGCCGATAAAAATAAAAACAAGATCTAATTTTACATTATACATTTTTTGGGATGAGCAAATTTCCTTTAATACATGACGTTTATATTTTAAATCTATTCCACGGCAGCTGTCGCCAACCGCACATCACCACCTTTCTTAGCGACAAGGCTGCGCTTTCGCGCTACTTGATTTTCACGTGTGTCCTGTTTTGTCAAAGCAGGAAATTTTTTTTTTTTAGCCTTTTCGGGACAGCAGGACACAAAGTTTCAACGCGGGACTATCCCGCTGAAAGCGGAACGTACAGTCACGATAGTTATAGTTCATTAATAAGCACATTTACAATTTACCTCTCTGCATAGACTGCCCTCTATGCAAAGCGTGCATGGAGGGAGAGGAAACTACCGCCCACATCCCACAACAATATGGCCAAACTACGGGCCGACCGTAGAGTGCCGAAATCGCTCCCCAAAGTCCTCAGCAAACCCCTCCTGGGTTTGGGTATGCCGAGGTTCCTGGAGGTGCTCAGGTGGTTAAGTAGGACCCACCATGACACCAGCCCGTTACACCATACCATATCACACAAGGGTTTTGTTAATGAAAAGACTACAGCACGGTAAAGCCAAGCCAAGTTCTGCATTATAGCCATTCAACATACCTTCAAGCAATATTGTCAGTTCTTCAAATTCGGCCAAATCAAAAATAAAGTGTTTTTCCAAGATCATCAGGTAAGTTAATTGCAAATCGTGGCACATTTTGAACAGATCTTTTAACTGCTTTTCTACACTTTTTAGGTGAACCCCATATAATGTTTCACTGTAATATAAAATAATTTAGTCCAGCGAGCATGTTATAATATGATGGATATGAATGATTCAAACTCAAACAACATTCAAAAAACACGATCTAGCAACTAAGATTGAAGGCCTTCGTTGATCAAGTTCCCTTTCCAATTTACTAGGGCTCAAAATGTCGTAAATACATACATACTCTTCACTTGCTATATGTTTTAAAGATCCGTGACGCCAGAAAATACTCTGGGAATACTGAGTAAATCTTATACCGCACAGTTCTGAGACTAGGTAATGAAGGCCACCATAATTGGAAAATAACATTGAAAGCTGCTGTGAAAGTGCTAATCAACCATTAATCAACGCTTGCGTAAAAAGCCTATCGGCCCCTCTTTAATCTATCGTAAACTCCAGAAATAGCTTCAATTTTTCATAAACCACTTCATTTTATACTCAGCAGTAAAATTAAAAAGCATGAAAGACAATGAGTATGTATTTTATCAAATTTCATTGCAATAACTCAAGAATTTATGATTTTTTGATTATGGCTTTATGATAATTTTAGTTCTTACATTAATGTCGCCCTGTAAAGTTGTGAATTTTTGCTTATGATTCTTTACCCAGAAGGAATCTATGTACAAACATGATAGAACATTTTCCTTTTCTTTGTCATCTCACAAGATTCAGTTTAATGAAATAACATACTACAAGATTTACAGGAATATGTTGGAATATCTACATTATCCGAGATTTTATGGTGTCCACAGAAATTTCATGAAATATCCTTATATTATGCTTGTTACCGAATTTAGAAATGAGCGGCCTTGTAGTATTTTGTTTTGACCATTCCAAGTAAGCCAGTTTATATTCATTCATCATATGCTTATTTTTTTATTTATCATAAGTGTGATTGTATGGCTAATTCCAAATTGTATCAAAACATAACATACCTATCTTTACAATGATTGAAAATAGTCAAAATAATCCTGCCAGTGGAAGTAGGGAATGTTTTCATGCTACAACATGACATTGTGACTGTCTCAACGACACCTTTGATAAAGTTTGAAAGCAGCTTAAGTAGGCACACTGTGTCTTCTATGTATTCTTGAAGCTTTATTTTTTGACCTATTGGTTCTGTTAATGCATCTATCAGAAGATCTAAACTCTGAAAGAAAAAAACAATACACACTTTATCTATACATACACAATCATTCATTCTATAGACCCAGTTTACAAATCCAAATGATCTTGAACACTGGAAAACCCAATGAGGGTCTTGTGCTTGCTGTGCTAAACATTGCAGAGAAACTCTGGCACTAGGTAGAAATGGCATCAGTATTCTGACCAGAGTTCTAACACTGTGACTGACATTGTGGCTTACATAAACACATGTCCAACCTCAAACAAAGGGGGCAGAGACTGTTGATTTTGTATAAAGTGATTGAGACTCCACAATACCGCCTTACCAGTGCTGGTCCTGAATAGGCCTTAAAAAGAGAAGTTTGAAACAATCAAGAAAACATTCAGATCTTTACAAATGTTGGTCTTTCTTGGCTGTGAGTTATAAAATCAATGATAATCATCTACATCAATTCAGGAGCTTCAGAACAGAAATCAATAAAGACAATAAATTTAAATTCCAATTTCATTCAGAGACTTATTGCATTGTGTTCATATGTGTGCATTTAAAAATGTACTTTAAAGCAGATTTAGTGGTTGGTGTTCAGGTTGGATAAATTATTCATAAAAATGAACAAAAACTACTGATTGGCAATTAAGAAAAGAAAAAGTAAGTGGTTTTTGTTTTGACACTCCTCAATCATTAGTTACAGTGACGAAGGACTGCACAGACCCTGAATGAAGCCACTCTAACAACACACTGTATCGAATTAACTAATGCAATGCAAATAACGGATCATGAACTACTTTGTCAATAATTAAAAGCAGTTTAAACAGTTTGATTATTGGGCTGTTCAATATCATTTTATTACTGAAGTCACAAGAACTAAAATCTTGCCATCATCATAAAATGCGTTATATATCCCAGTACTGGATATGTGTCTTCCGTTGAGAGGTTTTAGGTCATAGTATGTCACATTGGCCCAATGCAAGTTAGAGATTTCATGCTTTTGCCGAGTGTGGAAGGTTTCTTCATCACACAGGTTTCATTCCAATATTTTCCTTCATTATTATTTTACCTGCTTAACAACAAAGGATAAGTAAACTAATGCTATGTCTAATTTAGTTAAAATGTCATGGTTTTGTGGAATTACATAAAAACTAAATCCTGTACGAAAAACACTCATACTTTAGAGCTTCACTGTAAATTAACAGCTGGTTTATTAGAACACAATGAATAAAGGGTTATTACTTGATAAATGCAAGTTGCACAGTCTTCCAGAGCGTTGGTAAAGTATACAGAAAAAGTTTGCTTTGCGACTTCCACCCTTAGACTTTTAGATAAAGACAGCTTCGTGTTTGATAACAATGCTTTGTATGAGGTTGTATCCATCTGGAAACACATTGTTAACATAAGTTAAAACATTGTTTTAAAAAAAACGAAACAATAGTCAACTGGACGGAAAATATACCATAATAGAACTTTCACAGGAATGATCGCCGTTATTGGAGAAAATGTCAGAGCTTTGTGAGTTGTCCATATTTAGTTCACCGCATTGGTAAATAATTGTTGGTAAGTATTAATTTTTATTTCATCAAAACAACCCGCGAAAGTAAATTGTGGCCAAAGAGTAAAGTAAGTGGCATTGAGTCCCTATATTGCCCAACACAGCAATGTACGTCACAGTAATGCTCGACCCGAGAATGTCCACCCCAGGAATCCGCGACACAAGAATCCGATGCATACGGCCTCTGATTGGCTGCGTGATCTGTACTCCTATTGGTGGAATCTGTCTGACAGTTCACGAAAAGAAATGGGTCGTGTTCACAATGAAGCTCAAATTGGGCTCAAATTAAACGTCAAACGTCAAAAATTATAACCTTTGCGATAATAAATGTTATCAAATTTTTCGATATTTTCAAACTTTTTAGTAAAAGAAATGTCCGACAACTTCAAGCGGAAATTGACTGTTTTGGTGCGTTGACTGTGGAAGGTAAATCCGTCATAAGAAGAGGCCAGGAATCGAAGAAACTTCCTGAATCAATGATTTTCTACACCAAACAATACTACAAGACCCTTTCGATTAGACTAGCTTTTGAGCAAACGAGAATATAATAATTTCATTTTCTCAGAACTTCAGAAGTGGAGAATGTAAGTTACTAAGTATACAAATAGTTTGTTATTCGTCATTGTCATCATCAGTCTATTACTGTGTAGTGTCCCACTGTTGATGCAATTGCCTCCCTCAGACATGGAAGCTTGGTCTTTAATACTTCGCGTAGACCCATTGCGGGTTGATGGATTTTACATGCCTTTAATATCCTCGTGATGTTTTCTGATACCATCACAGTAATTCATTGTAAACTCCGATGTCTGTTGTAAAGGTTACCAGAAAATTCATTTTTATGTGCCTAGACCGAAGTAGAGATTTCTCTAATTAGAGTTGTAATACATTCATTATATACAACAAAACTTTAGAATGAGAACTTAATTTGATATTGCAACTAAAGAATGAGTACTAATGTTTTTTGAAATGTTTCAGGTGTTTCTTCTGTCGCTGCGTCTAGATGACCACCAGAATTAACTGCATCATCTCAGCTTAATGTGGCTGTGCTAACCATCACCGCCTTTACATTGGTTTTTGTTAAGAGTGCACTAACTAGATGCTGCAGGCATACAATAATTGCCAAAGTCTGGAGAGTCAGGCCACAACACCTAAATTCTACTAAGGTTGATATCTATCTTATTTTTGTGTTTACTAGGCAATCATGATCGCAGAATTGTTTAGTAGTCAAGTGAGAATAGTGTAGTGAGAGTACCCACAAAATTTTTCAATCTCTTTAGAAATTGCGTAATATATTTAAACTATGATAATTTGGAACAAAATTATTTATGTCCCATTACTGGTACTATGCAATATTATATTTATATTGTGGCTGTTTATACAAAGGTAATGATGAATAATAAACAGCCAATTATATAAGAGACCTTTTATTTACATTTCACACGTGACCTTAGGTAGTAAAGCAATACCTCTGTTGAATTTGTTTCATTTAAAATATTTCTTCACAAATCCAAGAAAATAATGAATTAATGGCTAACTTGGCCAGGGATTACACTACATTATACTATGATAGGCATTAATAATAAATGAAGGCTTCATCCTGGAGATGTACTTAAGTGTGTAGTATAGCAGATATCAAATTATGTATAAGGTTTATTATTTTGCAGTTATAATTTAGAGTTTAAATAGTATGTAGGAATTCAAAGTGTACCCTCTAGACTTCCAAGTTTATTCTCTGTATGTCAAATCTATACCTGTTTTGTTTTTATTCCCTGTAAACCAAGTGCTGCAATAGACGTAGCTGAAATGATTTTAATTACATTACAGACATAATTGTTATGTAATTACTAGAGATATGCAATATTAATCAGTGTGTTAATAATTAATATTATGGTAATATCAAAATTTCATCACAACTTAATCATACCTACAAGTAAAACAAGTGAGTGCATTGACTTTTTATTAGTAAGTCAATGAGTGTGTGGCTCTATATAAACTTTAAAAAAATTAAACATTTGAAAAAATATATAAACATTTGAAAAAATATGACAGTAGATAGTGATTATTAGCTTTGATCTCACAATGATTGTGATTCATCTGTTTTTACGCTTGGTTTATTAAAAAGTATGGTATAGGATATAGTATGTTCTAGGTAATAAGGTAATGATCACACAACATAACAAGTTATTTATCTGTACTGTGCTGTAAGCAACATCATTATTGTAGATCAATAGTTTCTTAAATTAAACATAAAGGGAACAATTTAGTATGTATTTAGGTATAGCAGGCTGTGTTGACGAGAACATGTCTGGCAAAGGTGCGTGCAATAAAATATCAGTGATATACGACGTGGCCCGGTACTATATGGGAAATACCAGCTGCAGCGCCTGTTGGTGGTTGTTGCTCAGCTGTAAAAGATGAATGATATTATAAATCATTTTATATCAGGTGTCTACAATAGTTTGAACTTGTTGCGCTTGGGAATTTTGCATGTGAATGAGTTATGTGTTTATGCTGTGGCAGAGAAAATGGTAGTTATTGCAGCTTAACACCTTGTGAAAGAGTTCGTCCAGGCCTTGCCACCTTCCCTATTTCTGCCGCCAAGCAGTAATGTCAGGACTATTTGTGTTCCGGTTTTGAAGGGTAAGGGTGATGGTGAAATTACAGGCACATGAGACTTGTCAACTTATGTCTCAGATTGACGGGCGCAGTGGCAGTGCCCATCAAATTTTTGCGATTTAAAGTTCTGAGTGGCAATACAACTGTTATGGACAGGCGTGTAGCTTACCATAAGGCATATTATACAAAAAAATTTCATTTTGCCTTTTTTTTTGTTTCAAATGGCCATTCAGTTACTAAACCTTCTAAAGTTATTTATGTAAGAAATAGGTAGGTACTGATCTAACAAAATTAGGCTAGCTCTGTGTAGCCTGCTCAGTCACCAGGATATTGGTTGAGCATCAATGACAAAATGGTGATGTGGCGTTTGGAACTCGACCCCTTACGTGATTTTGGAAAAACAGTTTCTTTTATTTCCACTTCACCTCACCTCCTTGTTGTCAACATATTAAACTTTGCTTGTCCCTAACATTTTTAGGACGTGTTTCGCAAAATAAACAGTTAACTGAATTTATTGTGTAGGTATCGTACATAAGTATTATATCATGGGATATTTGACTAACCAAGTGTTCCCAGTGAACGTTTTGTTTTAATGAAGAATTATCTGAATATCTAACAATGTTGTGCCTTCCTCCTTTATGTGGGCTGAGGACCAGCACAAAGTGCGAAAGCACTATTGTGGCGGAGTTACACTCATACATCACGCAGTTGCTTCAATGCTTTCCGTTCGTTATCATTCTTTTATCCAGCAATTTGCATGCAAAAAGCAAAAGTAATAAAAAATAACCTAGAATTTTCAGCCACAGGGAAAGTTGAATAGGCACCAAGACACCAACTAAATATTTAAATACAAAGGACATCTCAATAAATGCCCGGCAAAATGGGCATCGGTCGTCTTGATGCCGCTCCAACTGGCCAAGGCAGATGCCGCAAAGAGCGTGCCCGCAACGCAACAACACGTGACTGGGCACTTTCTCTCGACAAACGCCACACAAGACAGCGGGCGTGGGGGAGCGTGAGCGTGATCTTAAGCGCGCAACTTCCGGAGCAGCCACCAAATCTGGAACAGATTCCAGATCGAGTACCAGTCCCGGGTCGACTTCCACCTCCATTGCAACATCCGGCACGTCATCGACAACAATCCCCACACCCACGTTCATCAAGCGACTGCAGGCAACTAGGTGTTGGCGAAGAGTAATGAGACCTCTCTCAAGAGCCCTCTCGTTACTCTGCAGTACACTCGACCTAAAATACGACCGGTCCCTGTTCCGGCGACGCATTATACCCTGCACATGTGCCGATCTCCTGGACGCGCTCACCGCGAACGTCTCGCTGACGACATCTGAAAGGAATAGGATAGCATTAAAATATACAAGTGTTGTTATTAATGTACGTGCAGGGTTGTTACAATTTATGATTTTGTTATAAATAGCGTAGATTTGTTTGTCTAGATTACAAATTAAGATCAACCACCGTTAAAACCCTACGATAACTTTCCTGGGAGCACGGCACTGCCCCCGCGATATACCTCAAGGCAATTCAGTCTTCCGTATCTTTATCATGGATTAGACTAAACCAAGAAATTTATGTCATCGAAAGTGCTAAATGTATCACAATAGGACGGTGTTGTTGGAAACTCAAGCATATTAAATTTCTATTATTATTTGATTTCATTCTAATAAATGAGATGTTTCACTCGAATCAAGCGGTTGGACCTTGAGTAGAATGGACAGATTCTTTTTTAACTTAAAATTTTTATAATATGTAACTAAAAACTACTTAGTACAAAAGTAGTGAAGATGATGTGTACTTACGTTTGATTTTGTCAGTATTTGCCATTTTGCAGACGAGACTATCTGGAGGCCCCTTTGCGGAACTACATTGTTCAACTTCTAAAAAAACTAAAGCATCACTAAATACATTAACTACAATAATTTATTACTATATAGGTACTTTTAAGATACTAAATTAGGTAGATATGTATACTAACCATGAATTACCAACAAAATACGAATAGCATGGAATCCATTACGAGGTACGTATGTATATTAAATACATATGTGAAATGAAATAAAATCAAAAAACCTTGTACTCGAGTGTGAGTGACAAATTCGAGAGCAGCCTGAAGTGCTGCCTCGTAATCTGTCACAATAACGGCCGGACGTGGGTTGTCAGCCTCCTGCCAAATTCTTTGCAAGACCGCTTCGTAAAGCGGCCTCCTCCTGTTCTCCATGAGAACCATCACGGGGTGGTAGAAGTGGCCTTCTATAACCACGTGAATTGTGAGAATTTGGTAGGCGGGCAACCCCGCCGGCACGGTTAAAAATGTGCCGTCAACAATAAGAGCTTCGCTCTCGCGAAGCAACTCCCTGTATCCTGGCATCACCAGGATGACTGACGAGGCGCCGCCCGCGGAGACCGTAGCCAACAGCATGGTGCTGTGGCGCGGGTGCTCCGCGAGCGCCGCCCCGAAGCCAGCCAGGCTCTGCTGCCGCAGAGCCTGGCTGCAGACTCCTCCGCCAGAGCCGCATCGAAGACACCACGGTCTCGTACAAGAGGTGCGGTGCGCCATCTGGATGTCTGTACATACAAAGTCAAATTAGATTATGCGGCGGAAGCATTGACCCTACCAAGACGAAAGGTAGGTATAAATCAATGCATCAACGAAAGGCTGACTGATGGAATCCAATCTTTTTTTTTATAATCAAGTGACAGGATGGAGAAGTCGTGCACCTTATTTGTGAGACATAAGTTGACAAGTCTCATGTGCCTGTAATTTCACTAGCACCCTTACCCTTCAAAACCTGAACACAGTAATGCTGACATTACTGCTTGGCGGCAGAAATAGGTAAGGTGGCAGTACTACCCTGGACGAATTCTTTCACAAGGAGCTCTACTGCTACTAAAACAATTAGTTAACAAAGAGCGTCCTGGGTTTTTGAACTTTATATACATCACGAAAACGTATGAATAAACTGATGTAGGTACAAATACATTTATGATTTTTTTAAATAGAAGCTTTCATACCTTGTTACTTCCTCTCGGTATAAAGTATTCAAGGGAGTGCTCTCGGAAGCAGCTCTCCTTTTGAGAGCCTGGAACATATTGTTCCTGTAGAAATAAAACGTATTATTTTATTAAACAGTATCAAAAAAGTGACAATGGTGTTCTACAACAATCTTACTTACTTATATTGTTTTCTAAAATCTTACTTCTATATTCTATACTGACTACTTCTTACTACTACTACTAATACCATTTACATAGTTTTCTAAAAGTACAAGAGGTAACACATGTACTTCTCTATTATACATACAACAATAATAGTTAATCACATTCATATTATTTCAAATTGTGTGAGTAAAATAAGAATGAGTCAAAGAATAGTATCTAAGCAAGTGTTCTTTGCAAAAGTCTCCAAAGGTAAAGTAAAGTAGTTACTGGGCACAAGGCAAGAACTTTATTTATTTTATTATACAAGTAGCTCCAAGGAAGCAAAAAAGGAAGAAAGGAAGAAAGCAAGAAAGGTTGATACAATATTCAGAAAAATGAATTACCACCACTTATTAGTACCACTGCGCATCACCTTTGAAGCTCTCGATCTGCATCCTCGAACTCTGAAACACAAGTTTAAAATTTTTAGAAAGCTCTAACTGTATTCCAAATCGCGCGCGATTCGCAACTGACGAAAATTTTAAAAAACTTAACTTAACTTTATCCTTAAATGTCCAGGTAGTTTGTGATTCTCAATTGAAGATAAGAGACATAGTGGCACACTGGAGGGGCAGTACACATGATGCAAGGATTTTCAGGGAAAGTCGAATTCGGCAACAATTTGAAAATGGGGAATTTAGTGCCCATTTACTAGGAGATTCAGGCTATGGTTTAACAAATTATTTGTTTACACCAATCCAAAATCCCCGTGGTGTGAAGGAAGAGTCTTACAACAGAGCACACATATTGACAAGAAACCCAATTGAAAGGTGTTTTGGAGTATGGAAACAGAGGTTTCGTTGTCTATTGCATGGATTTAGTGTAACACTAAAAAATGTAAAATTGTACATTGTAGCACTTGCTATACTCCACAATATTGCCATCGATATGAAAGAAGACATTGATTTTCTTGAACCTCACTTGTCTGAAAATGATGATAATCAACAAATGCCAAGGAGAGATAATGATAGCCGATCTGGCCAAGAAACAAGAAGATTGTTCATTGAAACACACTTTTAGCTGTAGCATTGTATTATTTTAATTTAGATTTTAACAACAAAATTTCCAATTTTAATTTTTCAACTTGAAGGTCATGCTCTTCTTTAATAAAACTCTGAGCTTCTAACATATTTTTCATTTTTAGCTCATGTTCCTCCCTTATGCAATTGACAAGAACCATATGGCGCTCTCTTGTGAAGTCCCGTTCCTGAAATAAATAGTTTGTTATTAAATACAAATCACCATGCCATTAATTCTTTTACCTAAATTAAATGTTGCAATTTTATTTTACCTCACGTTTTGCAGTCTGTTCATTATGCTTCATTTCATTAAATGGTAGTTTCCGTTTTGTTCCACAAGGTTTAAATAAATTAATCTTCTTCACAGGTTGTGGTGTGATATTCTGATACAAAAAACCAGACATATAAATAAATAAATAAGCCATTTTTAAATATTGTATGAATGTATAGAGGTCTGCATAATACAGACATTTATTAATAAATTTAAATTATCAAACCTCTTCCACATTCTCTTTCTTATCTAATGGAGTGAGAACATACTCTTGCGTTGACATGACACATTCCACCTCTTGATTCTAAAATAAAATAGAAAAATGTGTATTAAAGTTATACTTATATCATAGACTCATAAAGATATAATTTTGTAACTGTCTCACAATTATACTGTCTACATTAAATAAAATTCATGCAATGCACAATAATAAACAAATTATAAGATCCTCACCGCTATGCTGTCACTGTCGAAGATATCTGTTTCAAATTCCTGTGGAATCATACTTAAGATGTCTATTGTTTCCGGATCTGGGCTAGGAGGCTTTGGTCCTCCACCAATACATTTGATAGATGTCTTTACCTGGGACATATTTTTTTAGCATCTAATTTCATTGTACGCCATTGTTGTTTTATTTCAGCTAAATCTCTCTCCCGGCTATTTAATTCATTAAATCTGAAAAACATTTTGTCTCAATTACGGTTAGAAGAATACAAGAAACATTAAACAAAAGGCGTGAAACGTGGTATTTTACAAACCTTTTTGTTACTGTGTGCCAAGCAATGGTCTTACTTTTATTGGTATTAGTGTCAGTGTTTTTGTTCTCTAACACGGATATAAACTCCTGTATGCAACTTTTTAATAAATTCTGAAAGATAATATACAAAAGTTCGATTACAAATTGTGACGGAGTGGGAAATCTTTTGTATAGTAAAATTCCTTCTCACCTTTTCTAAGGTATCCCAATTTGCAGATCGTTTTCTTTTCGCCTTGAGCTGGTCAATGTTTCCACTATTACAAGCCATTATTTCACAGTAACAATTTCCTAATACAGTGTAATAAACGCAATTTACTTTGAATTTGACGTTTAGCAATGTATGAAAGGTACGTTCATGAAGTTATTGACAATTTTTACGATAACCTTTGCCAAAAGAACTTTTTTATTGTAAAAGAAATACAAAATTACTTTAGACACATTTCAAGACAAGAAATGTCAATTATTATGCTAACAATTTATGTTATTTATTACAAAAACAACATTATTACGCTGTTTAAAAATTTGTCAAAATGTCTATCAGGTTTTCCAACCTAGTATCAAAACGCTCGCTAAAAATGTTGCCAGTGGTTATTTTTATAACTACGCAATGCTTGCACACCTTTTATTAGTAAAGGGAGTGTGTAACTCTTATCTGCAGTTTATACAATGTATAACTATACAGTTGTTAAGCAGTTGTTTTAAATATTTTTATTAGTAAGGCTTTAAGTGTCAAGCTTGTGCTCTTGACCCTGTACTTAACTACAGGATAACGACAGCATCTGCGAGATGGAGGCGGGTAGCTTTTGGATAGGGAAGGGCGAGCGAGTGCGCGAGCAGTTTCGCGACAAATACGAGTCACCTATGGCTTTCGGCACGCTTGTCAACTGACTCCAAGGTAGCCAGTTGGTATTTAGCAGAACTATCCCATAGATAGCAGTAACACTCCATACACGACCGGCTTTGTGCTTGGTACAACTTTTTTTTAGGCAATTGTGCCGGTGTGAAGTAGCACCTCACCTTGGAAAGGATGTCAAGCTCCCTGGCTGCATTTTTGGCCATTTATTCTATGTATCTGCCGAAGTTCAAACTGGAGAACAGGATCATTCCAAGTAGCTGACGACGGTCTGCTATTAGTTTGGATTTATCACAAATAGTCCAAGTCAGGTCAAAGGGACTCCGTTTTGTGAAGAATAGACACACTTGCATTTTGGTAGCGTCAAACTTGATAGTTTGGCATTGCAGTTCCCAATCGGAGACAGCCGTGTCAAATCCAACCGACTAATCATAGACTCTCGACAAGAATGGATTTCTTCTCCACTAATCCTTGCATTGAACTAATTGAGAAGTGACTATTTATACAACTGTGCCGTCATGTTATAGAATGATATGCAATGGAGAATGGAATGGGACGGGAAGGGACTGAACCACAGGCCACATACACTTCTTCCGTGGACGGAACGGAACGAAAGGGAACGGAATGTCGTTTATTTGCTTTACATAGGGTGGTTACATTATAAATGTTGATAAGAGTCATCACAACTTTAATTGTTCGAGAGGTAGGAGTAAAATCTAATAGCGTCAGCCACTATCTGTTGCAGGTTGAAACCAAAGAGAATTATTATTGGTTGAAACTATTTTTTCCCATCCTCTAAAGTTGAAACTGGCAATGTTTAGTGTATCACATCAACTGCTATAATTATTATGTTTGTCAATTTTGAAGTATACCAGTTGTTCAAGGTCGTTTGGTGGAATCAGTACTTTCGTAATATTAAAATACTCCAGGATTCAGACGCATAATGCCATAACGCAGAGTGCCAGTATTTCTCGGTTTATGTACTAAAAGATATGCCTCTATAATATAATATTTTGTTTCTGACTTCTAGAAAGAATGACTATGTCTGACTTATTTGCTTAGAGAATGGAAAAAAAATAAAAGAAAGGAGCTGCCCTAACTACAGGATGAACGTGGGTGTCAAACATTGACTTACAAATAAATGGACGACGGGTCTAATACAAAAACCACGAAAAAAATGTCCCAAGTCAACCTATTCGAAATTTAAATTGTTATGTCATCGCAGTATCGCGCTGTCCGTAGAACAAATGAAGACTAAAGCGGAGTGTCGCGCTCTGTATACGATTATAGCGCCTTACAAGTGCGGACACTTTTTAGCGCGGACCCGACGTCCATATAATTGTAAGTCAATGGTATCAAAACAAAAATTGAACGCTACAAATGGCGGATTTCTATAGCGTTGTACTATAATCTATCGATAAGTCATTGTCGACATGCAAACATGCATGACTTGAATGTTGAAATAGTTTTTTTTTTGTTTCTTTAGTTTACTGTAATTAGTTTACTGTGATTAAAACGTATGAAAAAATCTGCAACGAGTGGATACTTTTGTTTTCAGGAACTGAGAATGCCTAGTAAATGAGTCTTGTTGAATCTAAATTAAATATAACATTATTTACCAATAAACCTAACGATGGAATTGCATTATCATGTAATCTAGTTACATTTAAAGTTCTGGTAAAATTTGACTCTTCAAAATGAAATTAATAATTATATAATAATATTCATATTCGGCAAACCTATGATTTCCAACCCTTCTTTTTTCATTTGTTGGTAAACTTGAAATAATAAAAATAATAATAATAAAAACCTCGTAGTGAATTGTTTTCATAACAGAATATGGATAATAAGTACGTTTACAAGAACAACACTATCACAAAAGAATCCTAAAAAACAATCATTAAAATATACAAACAAGTAAGTAATCAGAAGTAATCAAAGCAAAATTTGGCAAGATTTATGAATAAACTACTTAAATAAGTCTAATTACATGAGATCTTTGGGCTACTGTGTGATTTATAGACAGAAAAATAACCATGTCTGTGCAATGTTATTCGGTTGATTTTCGCTTTGGCTAATGTCACGTCCCTTAATGCTGTAGCGACGCATTTTTATTAATACCTAATTGTTCTCACTTTCAAAATTTTCGTCCATTTTATAAAATAAAATTTCCAAATGATTTTACGCAAAACACTTGAAAAAACATTTGTTTTGATATTTGATGTACTTCCCTTTGACAACCGTATCATGTACCTACCTCATGTAATGCGAAATGAAAACGGTAGGCATTTAAGATGACGTTAAGTATTTTCGATTCCCGTATTTGGCACAGACCAATGTAATGCTATCTCTTTTAGCTTACGACGACATGCAGTAGTTAAACAAAGACAATAACATGTTTATGTTTTCATTCCAAAGTTCCATAGTCTAAGCTTTGTAAGGCGAATCTGTCACTCCCAACATATCTGAGTTATTCGTATCCATAATATTTAAAAGCTTATTTCTCCCAGTTTTCAGGGAGCCAGTATTAAGATTAGTAACACTAAAATTCCTAAACTTTTTTTTCTTGGCTTTTCGTGGTTAGCGTTTCAGGCACTAACAAATTTTGTGATTGTGCCTTGTTTAATATTTTATTTATTAAAAGAAATTAAATGTTTGGTTGCATATAAATAAGTTAGACACCCAATGAAATTATAACAGTAATTTAAATTACACAAACATAGGAATGCTAATTATGATCTTAAATTGATTTGTATTGGAGTCGAGATAAGATAAATTTTTAAATAGTGTATTCAAAATAATTATTTAAAAAAACTTTATTTAATGTAATAATAATTATTAAAATATTATACATATATATACTATATATACATAAAGTTACAAGTTTAGACTCACTGATAGAAATAGAGCGCATACTTCCCAATATTGTAGAAAAAAGATATTTAGATCGTTGTACGCAGTGTACGTTCCAAAGAATCAAATATGAGAGGACCTAAATGTGGAAAATATAAAAGAGTGATCAACGGCCTGCAAAAACTATAATAGTATATGTTACATTTTTAACAATTGTGAGATCTTGTACTTTTAATAGAGCCTCTGTATACTACCTACGTACGGTGGCGTGCGGACGCTTCAGGTTTCACCCTCAGCTGGACCTCGGCCTATGGCCTCGGCATTTATGATTTTGTTTAAAAAAATTAAAATAGCTCTTTAATGGCGGTCATTTGAAAAATGGCAAAAAGTTAATTTTGACCGCAAATTATTATTAAACACACAGAGAATCCCACATGTCGATTTTTCAGTCGAATTAGAGCAAATTTTTATCAACCGCCAAAAAACGCTTGTATGGCTACACTTTTCTTTTTTTTATTGAAAAGTGGTGAAAAACTAATGTTGATTACAAATTATTATCAAGCACTCCTAGAGCAGTTTTTTTTTCTACAGCTTCAGTTTTTTTAAAGCTGACTCCGTGGCCGAACGGTTACCACGCCGGACTGCCACGCAGAGGTCCCAGGTTCGATTCCCGCGTCGGGAGAAATATTTGTCCATACAAATACTACATTTATTTCTCTCGTGAGTTTGGGTGTAATTTGTGGTTTTCTATGTGTGTGTCCATGGCACCCGCGACACAGGGTTTTCCCTAGTGCGGGGCTATGTTGAGTGTGTGCGTTATTATTATTAATTAATATTAATATTATTAATTTTTAAGCGAACGCTTGTATGGCGGCCATGTTTGAAAATGGCGAAAAATCAATTTCGATTACAAATTTTAATCCGGCACTCTTAGAGACCTCCGCATGCTCCAATTATCATCCGAATCAAAGCAAGTTTGTCTTGACAGTTTTTTCTAACGAAAACAATGTTTATATGGCAGCATATAAAAAAATCGTGAAAAGAAACTTTTGACCCCACGACTCCTAAAGACGGCATACTGGGTATGCCATTTCACCCGGATAGAAGCAAGTTTTTCTTCGGCTGTCATCTTGAATTCGCCATCTTGATTTTTTTTCACCCAGGCAGTTGACCAGTGTTATCCTCTATGACATTCCTTTGAGCATTTCCTACCTATCTTTAATAATCTCCGTGATAGAAGACTTTGAAATTTGTCTGGCGGCCATCTTGTTTATTTCAATTTCGATAATTTTTTATTTCCAACGGAAATTGTCCAGGGTATACCTCATAAAAATGCACAAATATTCCCTCCATGTATTATAGTTTTTGCAGGCCACTGATCACTCTTTTATATTTTCCACATTCAGGGCATCTCATATTTGATTCCTTACTTGAAGCTATCCGCGATCAACGGTATAAATATATTTTTTCTACAATGTCGGGAAGTATGCGTTCTATTTCTATCAGAGAGCCTAAACTTGTAGCTATAATTAAATAATAATAGAATGATTTTTCTTCTTCAGCTCGGGAGCTGCATGAATTTCTAAATTATAGCCACGAGATGTGTTTTCCAGAGTACGAAGCCATCCATCGATTTCCACTGACTCCGTTGTTAGCCTTGCATTTTCATTGTCAAGCATTTTATTTTGTTATCCGTTAACTCAAGTTTCTTTTTCAAAACATTAAAACTAAACCAAAAAGTGAAAGTCCGTTTTCTTAGTTTTCCAAGTTCTTTCCGCTATTAATTTTCCTTTGATCGTGTTTCCCCAGTTTACTTTGGCTATTATAAAGGATAAAATTACGTCGTAGAAACTCCTAGCTGCCAGTTGCTAAAAGCAAAAATTAAAAAAAAAATTAAATTTTCGTCCATCAGAACATCTCATTGTGAACAAAGCCTATCAAAAATGGTGATACCACGTGACCTGTGCCTCCAATTCCTGGGCCGGACATTCTTGGCTGTACATTCTTGTGTTGGACATTACTGTGTCGTACATTGACGGCTCCCAGTGGCATTCACCAATAGACATTAGACCATAAAGGATGGGAAAAAAAACATTAGACAATTGCATAGTATTTTTTGGCTCACTCGTTCAGAAAAATACAAAAGAATTAAAATAAAACAAAGCAGTCCGAATCGAAATAGCTAGTTTGGTTGGTAATAAATGTATGTTACATAGGTACGGTTTTCAAAGGTATATTCATTGACCTACATATTACATTTTATTTATTTTTTTTATTTATTTAATAGTTTATTGTACAGGAAAAATACAACAAGTCACAAAGAATACAAGCGAAATTAAAAACAAAAGGTTCTGCTTATTTCTAATAGAAATTTCTTCCTGCAGACCTAAATACAGGACACTATAACTAAAAGAACGGGCATATGTGCACAACAAAACAAGAAAAAAAAAAATGATATAAAAATAATATAAAAATATTAAATTGTTTTAAATTATACATATAAATACTTAGATAAATACATATTTTATAATATAATACCTAAGATATGGATGGAATAGTAGACAAATAATGCTCTTTAACTCTCACTTTAAAAATAGCTAACGATTTACTTTCGTGAACAGTAATAGCAAGTGCATTCCAAAGTCTGACCGCATGATATATATATGATGATACATTAATAAACTTGAGTACATTTATCGTTACGTTTGCACATCTAAAAAAACGGATATTGTAATCCAAAAGGTAAATAACTGCCTCAACAGCAGGACTGCCACGCAAGGTCCGGATTCGATTCCCGAGATGGGAGAAATATTTGTATGGCTTATATTTATTTTTCTCGTGAATTTTGATGTAATTTTTGTTGTCTGTGTGTGTGCCCATGGCACTCGCGATACGGAGTTCTTAGTGCTGCGGGGATATGAGTTTGTGTGCGCAAAATAAATTACAAAATAAAAGATTTTTTTCTTAATAACTTAAAGTTTGTACAAGACATCCGATCATCATAAATAGTCCTTTTTTTTTTTTGCTTTTTTTAAATGTAAATATGATTTCCCAATAGTTTAAAACGCGTGATTTTCTTAGTGGTAGAATAAAATCGATTCCTCGAGCAATTGATGCTGGCATGACTGGCACCTGTCAATAGCACATGCGGTGGCAATAGCGGTGCGAACTCGTCACTTCATAAATAGCTTGCAGGGTGTTAAAATGCACCTATTATGTTATTTATGATGTAAAATGACGTAAAAAAAAAATAGCCTTATTTTTATATTTACGAATATGAAGCTATATCTAGCTCTGAATACAATATAATGTATGCACCAAAGTAACCCGGTTCACCCATACAATAAACTCAAAATGTATAAAATAACTGACCTTTAATTAATTTTTTTATTGTCACATGTTATGCTGGTGATTATTGTCAGATTGAGGTTTAGAAAATGGTCTGAGTTTTAGGAAGTATAATATAATTGGTTTAAGATATGTCTCAAAACGTCGTCTTTGCATAAGAACTCTAGTGAGGGTAAAATCCACAAATTCCGATTCGGACCATTTCATAATTACCGTTGATTCATAAACGAAGACAGCAACGTCACTCGCACGTGGTTGAAAAGTTGCAAATGCGGCTTTTCTGGCATAGGTTGAATATTTTTGTAGATTTTTTAAATATATTCTGTGTTCATGGTGCTATAAAATGTGTAATAAATTTTTAGAGGAAGCCCTTTCGAGGCTTGCCTCCACAGATAATTCGGAATTAAAGAAAGCTTGTAATCGTGTCTTGGTTAGTATCTTTTGTTTATTGTTCGACAACATATTTTTCCATGTGCTGTTACGACTCAGTACTCAAAATTTGCTATTAAGTTTGGCGCTACAGTTCCGGGCGCCGGTCTTTCAAGGGTGAATACCGCATACGGAACGTAATCAGTGTCCACGCGTATCAGTTTCCAATTTTGTTGGTCTTGTAGCACCACCAAAAAGACTATGCATGATTTCCAAACTTACAACACCACCCGGTGGCGTAAGTAATAAATAAGTGCCACTGCCAAAGCATACGAACCCAACAAACAATTATTATGTAATTTTGTATAGACAGGTACAACTCTACTGTAGTCCTGTGCATTTCCTAAACTTTTGCCTTTAAATGGCCATCAAACCAGAAGATTTTGATCTGGATCAGTGTGGACGACCCTTAAATATATAATACTTTTTAAAGATTAATGATGTAAATAACATTGATAGAAATAAATGTACTGTATTTGATACCTCAGGGAAGAAAGGGTGTAATGTAATTGGGTTCCATTTTCATGCTCCTTCTATCTTTTAAATTTTGAAAGAAATATCTTAGTACTGATCTAGTAATGTGGCCTTATTTTAACCACAGACTTCCAGAGATCAGTTTTAACATTAATTGTATCATTTTGGTATCAATCAGTTATTGCACTTAAAAGCTAATAATATCTTCAAAAAACATTTTTAGTATCACAGATAACGGGAGCGGAGCGAAAAAAACGAAATGACGCGAGAGAGCGCATTCCATTTTACGCATTGCTTGTTTTCTTGTTGCATTGTATTCAAAGTGGTTTATATACATAATAAGTAACAAAAAAAAATTTGTAAAATACTCCAAGAACCTGGGTTTTTCAAATCAAACCCTGGATTGATGCCCTAGTTATCCTTCCTTCCCCGAAGGATCAATATGCTTATGTCTTACTAAGTAGTTGCTCTCAAAACTTATTTTGTTTAAGAAATGCATAATACCCAATTACTTTTATTATTTCAGGATGGTCTTCAAAAGAACTCCATCAACACACAGGGAGTGGTAGATATTTTATCAGACTTCATACTAAGATTTGAACATGTTAAGTCAATACAACTACACTTGCCACAATTACTTCTGGCACTTGTGTCCAATAAAATACCTTTGAAGCCAGTGTTTTCGCAGCCAAACTATGATGTTTGCAATGATCTTGAAAAGACAAATCATTTGGAATACTCTATTGCATTGGCAATGATGAGTGATCACCCTGATATCCTTCAGTAAGTTTGAGTGCACACATGAGACTACTTTTAACAATATTGGTGTGCTTAATTTTCCATATTTATTAATTATATAT